GTTAAATGCAAGCCAGGCCATATCTCTTTTTTTGGTCAGGATCCTCCCACAGCTCCTTCCTCTTAAGAGAGAAGCAGCCAAATTCTCCTTCCCATCTATAGAAGTGACCCCCAGGGTTACCTCTCATCACTTTTCCAGCTCACTCCACGCCAGTGCTACCTAGTCTTTCAGTTTAAACCTTGCACCTCTTTTCTATTCCTTCCCACTGCACACAAGGCTTCATCTTGGAGATCAGCCTGTCTGACTCTCTTCCTGCTACAGTTCTCTACCCAAATGTTATTTTCTCAGTAATTTCTTCTTTGATGGCCTGCATCTTAGCAACCACCCCACCTTTGTCCTAACTTATCCTCCTTGATGCTTGAGAAAGCAGACCAGCACATAGCACCAAGGAACATGCCCCCTGTAGCATTTTATCCATGTGTGTCTATCTTTCCCCAGGAGAACATAAGTTCTAGGAGGACAGAGGGCTTTTGTTAGTCCATTTGCTCTCTACGATGCTCCTAAATAGAACAGGACACTGATGGGTGGTCAGAAAGCACTTTCGAATAGTGAAGAATACTTCTGATGTTTCCATCTATGGTCAAGGTCAGCCTGGCACTTATCACTGTAGTATAGACTTTTCCCTTGGCACTCTTACATCAGGATGAACCATGGGCCATTCCCAACCTGGCCTCTCTCCTCCCTCTAACAAGAAATCTGTTCTTTGCTGTTGGCAGCATTAGCACTGTTAATAGCTCCAGGCATCAGTGGCCACTCCATGACCTTCTGGGTGTGGATTCTTGGTTCTTCTGGGAATGTCTGTGAAGCCAGTTCAGTAGTCAGTATTGAGTCTAGATCTCAGGCCAGAGGCTGAGCACATCATGTTCTCAGCCCGGCTGTCTGCTGTTACTTAATTTAATATTGAGTGCTGGGCCAAAATTGACTGTTTTCTGCCAAGTTGAAAACCAACTGAAATACTACATTGAATAATTCTTCCTTTTTTTCTGAGTTTCTTTTTCCCTGAACTGGCTATTGTATCTAAAGTCTTACAGTTTGATAGAAATGCCATCCTCTTTAATTGTTCTCGTCATTAAGAAAGTAACTGGAGCTGATAGGAAGGGACAGAAGATTGGTGTCTGTGAGGATCATGCTTCCTAATTCCAGCAGCCTCATCTCTCAAGGCAGTCTCTCTCTTATTAGCATCTTCATTTTGATTCACACCTAGCCAGTTCCTACTGTTAAATGCACACATTAGAGTATTTTCATTGACTTTAAAAGAAACAAAGTATGTAGTTATTAGTAAACAGAATGCACACAGGAAGAAAAATAAATTGCCTTTCCATGAAGAATTCAAAATTATACAGAAAATAGTGTAACTGTCTATACCATTAGAAACCTGTCCCCCCCCCCAAAAAAAAACACAGATGGGGGGGTAGGGGAGATAGGACAAAAAGCAATTCTTTTGCCAAGCAGTTTGTAAGTTAAATTTTCTGTTAAATTTGTAGTCCTGAGTGAAGAAGGAAAAACACCTATCTTATTTTAACCAAATTTTGTCACAGATTATCCTCTGTCCAAGGGTGACACCTCCCAATCACAGGCACATGTTCCCAAAACAGTTTAAATGGGAAAGAAAAGCATCATGTCTAAGGAGACCCAGAGATACTAGTTCGAGAAAAAATGTGGGGCAGAGTACAGGAGAGAAAGGCAGGAGCTGTCTGTACCATGAAGGAGGCTAGAACCAATGATAGCTGCTCATCAGATTGTAGGATGCTGGTGCCTTGTTTCATTCTTTGTATTTATGTCTCTGCTTCTACAGAGAAGCCCTAATCAAAACACTGAATCTACCTGAAGGTAGGTCACAAGAAGCCTTCTACCTTTTTTTGTTTGATTCCCTGTCCCTTTTTATATGACTGCTATAATAATCGCATCATGATAGCATCATTCAGAGAAACCTTTTCTTTTCATTTTTCTTTTCCCTTTCCTTCCTTTGTTTACTTCATTTGTTATGCTGGTACTGGGGCTTGAACTCAAGATCTGGGCACTTTTTTATTCAGGACTGCAGCTCTACCACCTCAACCATATCTCCACTTTTGGATTTTTATTGGTTAATTGGAAATAAGAATTTTAAAGTATTTCCTGCCTGGGCTGCCTTTGAACCATGATCCTCAAATATTAGCCTCTTAAATAGCTAAGATTTCAGGCATAAGCCACTGGTATCTAGCTGATCCTTCATTTTCTTGACCTGCAATGGGAAATGAATTAAAAGTGAATCCTAAAGAATGATAATAGTGAGTTTCCCCTGGCTACATAACAATATTCTTGCCCACTTTCTAAATGGGACAGAAGACTAAGAGGTGAATATCTGTCTTTGTACTAAAGTGAAAGAGTCATTCATAGTTCTCCCAGTGCCTAAGTAAAATGCTGAACCAAAGGTAACTAGTTCTTGTATTAAAAGAAGCAAACATCTATTAACAGGACATACTCTTCTCTTACTGAGTTTTGAAATGATTGCATCATACTAGTTTTTTATGTTTGAATTTTTAACTAAAAGTTTCCTAAATATTTTCCCAAGTATTACATTTAGTAATATGATCTTATTACTAAAAAGGAAACCCTTAAGTCATTTATATATCTAGAAAATATATTTGAAGGACTGATAATTGCTAGCTAGTGAGACAAATGACATGGTTTCCAGTATGTCAACATTTGAGAGAATACACCATTCTCTTTTATTTTTTACAAGGTTTTTTTCAATGTTGATTTTGAATGCAAAATCAAAATCAAATGATGGTCTTCAGTTTCTCAATTTAAAATGTTATTTCTTTCTGCGTGGATTTTTAAAAATTCTTCCCTTTTATTGCATGCATGTTTTATCTTTTAAGTTTTTCCTAGCAGTTTACATAATGGGACAATGTTCAACCATGTTGATCTATGTTTCATGATTTATGTTCCAGTGGTTTCTTTGAGTTGTGTACTTCCAATGTAATTACTGTAAAATAATTGACACTGATACTTTGAGTATTTAACTGGACAACTAGTTGTAGAGATATTCATTCCAAGAAAATAGCAGAACTTTCCCTTGACATTGTCAGAAGTAAAAATTACCTGTAAAGGTTTAATTAGAAGGGTGCATCATTATGACAGTCACTTTGATAGAAAGGTATGTCTATAGTGAAACCTGGGATGAATTTGGCCTTGGATCTTTCATTTCTTATTTCTCCCCTGATGGTGGCCATCTTTAGCTTTGGCAGGTTAGTCTAAAGTGGAACTCCTAATGTGAGGTCTCATGTAATATCTTAGTGTGAGTTTTCATTAGAGAGAAATTAGATTTATATATTCCCAGAAGAAACAAACACATAGACAGTTACAGCTTAGTACAACCTATTTCTTGGGATGGATTCATTTTAGAATTTGCAAGTCTGCTGTGTACAAGGACACAGATGCAGTGATAGTTCAAGTACCAAGGGATGTATGAGAGGAAAATTTGGAGGAAGGAAAGAAAGACCTGGTATAAACAGTCACTCTTAATTACATTTTTATCAACAGAAATTCAAAAGAAATTCTAAGGTACAAGGTTAGGATGTGATGCCTTTCTATTTCCCTAGTAAGGGTAATGTTGGTGACCCAGACACCAAATAGACAAATAGCATCACAACTTGATTGGATGAGGAAAAGCCCTTAAAAATCTATTTAATGATTATAGCCATTCTAACTGGGGTAAGGTGGTTTCTCAATGTTGTTTTGATTTGCATTTCTTTTATGGCTAGAGAGGTTGAACATTTCTTCATGTGTCTATTGGCCATCCTTCTTTCCTCCTCAGAGAAGTTTCTCTTTAAGTCTTTAGCCCACTTATTTAGTGGGCAGTTGTTTCTTTGAAGATTTGTTGTTGGGGGATTTAATTTTTTGAGTTCCAGGTATATTTTAGATATGAGACCCTTGTCTATTGCATGGCTAGTGAAGATCTTCTCCCAATCCATGGGCTTTCTATTGATCTTGCTATGTCCTTTGCCATGCAGAAGCTCTGCAATTTCATGCAAGAGTCTGGTTGGGAAGGGGAAACAAAGGAGGAGGCTAAGATGCTTGATAAGAAATGTACTCATTATCTTGCCCATGTAATTGTAACTCCTCTGTATAGTATTTTCACAATAAAAAAATAAAAAAAATCTATTTAATGGATTGAGTATTGCATTCCTAATTTTTTCATTTTGAACTCAAATCATTTAGGAGAGGAAATGGATATTTCATCAAACATGGACTTGACATTCCATCACATTACATTATAAGCAGGACAAAACAATTGCATGTTGGAAATGGGCAGGCAAGAAAGCTGAGCCATAGCCTCCACTCTGAGGCCCTGGCTATCTCATTTAAACAGATATTAAACATGGGTGCCAGTGGTGTGATCACCAGCTGCTTCCCACTTTGTGAATAAATTGCTTAGAAGGAGCCTTTTGCCTACCAGATGTGACCTAGATTCAGATTTCTAAAGGCAGGAGGAAAAAAAAATTCTATTGTGTCAAAAAAATAAAAGAAAGAAAACAATTGCTGGTAAAAATGCATGGTAAATGAGCTTATCTCACTTTTCCAGGTGTTGGAACTAATATGTTATGGAATTATTGCTTCATTTATGAAAAATAATAGAAGAAAATGTTCCAGTAAATCACATTTGGATAAAGGCTTAGGGATAGCTATTGTGATGTTATTAGCAAGTTTTTAAATGGCAACAAGAGCAGGAGCCAAGCGAGATAATAAAAATATTTTAAAACTGTATTTGAGAAGACTTTCTTCTAAAAGGGTAAGATGCGGGTATGTTATGGTTTAGTAAAATATTGAAGAACAACATGAACAATTACAGCCCTTTCAGTGTATATGAAAGCTGTTTAAAAATAACGAAGCTTTCTGTCTGCTAGCTCTGATAAGTCTTATTACTCTGTTAAATGCAGCAACATTTTAAAACCTGTAACATCCTTATTCTCTCTTACCCACTCTATTTTCCTTTTGTTATTTCCTTTTGCCTTCAGGAGCTGCCACTCCAAAACCAGTCCCAGAACCAGAGAAACAAACAGACCATACAGTTAAAATTGCTGGAGTCATTGCTGGCATCCTGCTGTTCGTTATCATATTTCTTGGAGTTGTGTTGGTAATGAAGAAAAGGTGAGCTTCTAGCCAAGAATCTAGTTATATCCAGTTTGTTTGTTCACACACTCTGTGTGTGTGTTTGTGTGTGTGTGTGTGTGTGTGTGTGTGTGTGCGCGTGAAAATTTAGAATTACTGAGTTGGCATTGGCCACCAGGAACATCTGTGACTCTGTAATAATTAACATTTTTCATCATCTAGCATTCAAAGTTAACATATTTCATCATCTAGCATTCAAAGTTAGGGGACAAAAATTGTGAGATAAACAAGACAGATAAACAAGACAAAAAGAAAAGAAAAGGAAAGCAACAAAGAAATAAACCTTGTTTCCATTTCCTGGAGTTCATTTTGATCAATGTTATTTTTATTTGATCAGAAGCACATAGGTATTGTGCCTTTGATTCCTTCCCTAATAACATTAGGAAGTAAATTTTAATGGCTGTTTGAAGAAATAGTTTCTGAGTGATTTAGTAGAAACATCATTATGTACCAAAGTGTGAAATAGAGGAGAAACTAGAACATATTTGGGGAGTCAAAATGGAAAGTTCAACTGTGGACATTTTAAATTCCATTAAGTGAAGATGTTCCTGGTAGTTGGATATGTTGCTATGGACTAATAATAATAATTTTGATAGTCTGAAAATCTCAACAGGATGGGTGCTAAAGCCCCACAATAGGAGAGGTCACTCTAAGTTATTGTAGAGGAAAAGGTAAGAAGATAAATCCTTGGTGACAGCAATATGTAAGGGTACATTAATGTACATATGCACACACACACACACACACACACACACACACACACACACACACACACACAAACCTGTGCTTCTTTTCTAGTGTCTGCCTTCATTTTACATTTTTTGCTCAGGATAAAGTGTTGCTGTCTTGAAGAAGTATTCTAGTATTCTAGGCTTAGATCATCAGCTATTAATTTATCCTTCATCTTTTTTCATATGTCCTTTATCCTTTTTGTCTTCACTGCTCTCTTCATTTTCTATTCTATTCTTTTTTCTGTTTATTCTAATTCTCTGTGCTTCTATTTCTATTATTTTATTTATCTTTAGCTGTTTATTATGTTTTTTTTCCTCCCTATGTCTGATTTCCTTTTTCTTTTTCCTCTTCTTCACCTCTCATTTCAATTTTTTTCTTGGATGACATTTCTTGATTCCCCTCCCTAAATGCTTGTTTATAAGTGATTTGGAGCACCATGACTTTTTCTTTTGTTAAATGTGTGTGTGTGTGTGTGTGTGTGTGTGTGTGTGTGTGTGTGTGTGTGTACATGACTCCATGCCCAGATATTGAAACCGAAAATTTCAGAGAGATATATTGTAATTGAGGACTCTTTTGGATCTATATGTCATCTACCAAGCTCTCTATAAGAAATAGCTTGAAGCTAGTAATCTAGTTGCCCTAGTGACCTTAGCTAAACATTAGCTAATCCTCCACAAGGCTTTTTCTGCTAGATTAATTCACTTTCCTTTCTAGGTCTCTCAGGTAGTCACAAACTCTATGTTATAAATTATACATTTGCAGAGATTGCCTTCAGTAACATATGGCCTTGACACAACTTTAGACTAAATTCCCATAAGTCATGTCAGATTTTACATGATTATTTACTACACAATAATCTTAAAAGGATTGTCTTCACAGCATGTGTCACTGCTGTATTTGCTTTTTTCTGAAATATAGAATATGCTCACCATAAGACAAATTAGCCAATATACTATGCCTATAAATACAACACTTGTAGAATTTAGATCTGAGTAGTCATATGGTACAACTGTCATATTCAATAAAAATTCTTGAAACTTTGAATTGTTTAGGATTTCTCACCACAATTCATTCTACATTTTAAAAGTATTTTTAAGCAGAATAGTTAAAACATGGTGTGACTCATAGGTAAGTTTCTGAGGTGTTACCGGTGCATAACAAGCATATTTATTATTTAAGCCTCCCCTGTAGGACTTAGAAACGCTCTCTTTGTTCAATCACTTCAGGACTGGAACTGTTGCTTGGTGAATAGTTGATCTTTGAGCCACATCCTCCAGTGTCCCCCAAGTGGCCATCAATTAAAAAGGAAAAGCAATGGGGAAATGGCAAAAGAAATGAGAGGAACAGAAAAGAACTATTTCAGGAGTAGATTTCTGTATGTAATTTATCATCTCTTTACCAGCTAGAACTTAATACTATCCAACATGGGCTATTCCTATATGGAATGAACCTGCTTTTCCTCTGTACAAAGCATTCTGAGTCAGCAAGCACAATATTTTCCATAGATCTGAAAGACAGCCTGGGCCCATGAGTAAATGGGGCTGAAACAAATCCGTCCATATTATTGGAAGGCTATCCTGCCATGGCTGTGGATGAACTAGTCAAGTAAGCGTACCTAGCCAAGTCAGCCTGGTACTTTACCAGGGGAGGATGGCAGATTCCAGCACTGCAGGATTGCTTGCTATTTTCTTGGAAGCTATTGTTGATTATTAGCTTAGTTATCATCATTTTTTGCCTCTGATGGAACGTTCTTCCATTAAAAAAATATAGTTGCTGGGGTTGGGAAGGTGGCTCAGTGGTAGAGTGCTTACCTTGCATGCATGAGGCCCTGGGTTCTATTCCTCAGCACCACATGAGCAAAAAAGTCCAGAAATGGCTCTGTGGCTCAAGTGGTAGAGTGATAGCCTTGAGTTGAAGATCTGAGGGACAGTGCCTAGGCCCAGAGTTCAGGCTCCACGACTAACAGAATAAAAAATAAAAAAAAAAAATTAAAAACAAGTAGTTGCTGAAACAAGCCTCTCATACAAAAATAAAATCTATTTGGCTTATATTAACTTAATAGAATTTTTTTCACATATAGGCAGTAATGATTAAGAACAGATATACCATCATTTTATTTGACTGTTGGGAGGGACAGGACATAAAACTTTTTATACATTAGTGACTAATTGTTTTTTTATTTCTAAGTATTAAATCAGTTAAACATTAATCATTAGCAGGATATTAATATACTAGTTGTATTAATATGCCTACTTATATAACTATTAAAATATATTAAATATACCTGGGCACCAGTGGCTCACACCTGTAATCCTAGCTACTCAGGAGGCTGACGTCTGAGGATCGCGCTTCAAAGCCAGCCTGGGCAGGAAAGTCCATGAGACTCTTACCTCCAATAAACCACTACAAAACCAGAAGTGGTGCTGTGGCTCAGGCAGTGGAGTGCTCACCTTGAGCTGAAGAGCGCACAGACAGCACCCAAGCCTAGAGTTCGAGCCCTACGACTGACAAAAAAAAAAAAAAAATATATATATATATATATATATATATATGATATTTGTTCTTATTTTATTTCATACACAAGGCAATTTCTTCTCACTTTTCCTATCCTAATATGACTTGTTCTGTTCTTTTGATGGTGCATTGTTTTGATCTATCAAATGATAAGGAATGATGCACATTGAGTATCTAAGATAAAAGCTTCATACAGAACCACATGGCAATATACTCTCAAAGTTACTTGGCAATAATCCAAATCACAGATACTTATTTTTACCATCCATGTATAATTAAATATATTTGTTTAAAGGAAAATACCTGCATTTTCAACAGTTTTCATGAGGAATAATTTATCTCAATAACATATTTGACAGAATTTAGTATACAACCACCATCAATTTTAGCATGATGAATTACCTTCACTACTGTTTCTAATATTGTTGAAGATCTCTCATAAGTTTGAGGACATTTGTATTAATTACAGTAATATTCCTCTCTCAGCCCTTTAGCACATAGAAATTGCAGAATTTGCTACTCTTGGAAAATAATTAAAGAAATATGAATTATTGGGAAAAATAGCAAAATGACATTTACTATTTGCCCCCTTTCAGCACTCAACCTAATGGTTTATTTAAATGTATTCTATTGTGGGTTGGGTTTTTTTTTAATATAGGTGTTACATTGTAGCTCCTCACGATTCTCCTGCCTCAGGCTCTTGAGTACTATGCCATAGGTGCATACCACCTACACCATGCTTTTGGCAACTTGTTGTAAAGATTATGTTATTTTTAAAGAAGAGTAGAGAAGATATGTATCAGTCTTCTGTCTGTTAGGAACGCTCTGGGAAGGGCATGGCTTTAGAATTGTTCATACCTGGATTCATATCCCATTCTCTCCATTGAAGTAGTATAAACATAAACAAGGTTACTTTACCTCACTGAATTAGTTTGGAAATGTCTAGTCTAATCGTAGTGAGGATGATGTTTCCTAGGGGAATCATGAAGACTAAAGGGGATAATGTATATACATTGTTGGTGACTGATCAGTAATAGCTATAGAACCCAGAAGTTCAAATACTGATCCAAGGACACCAAAGTTGTTGACTGTAAGACTAACTATAAATGCATTTGTTTCTTAAACTCTGCTACAATGACACTTGCCTGCATCTTGCTCTGTAAATTCCAGGCTCTTTCTGTAGTCACCAACTAAAAAGAGCACCAAAGGCTCACACCTTCAATCCTAGCTACACAGGAGGCTGAGATCTGAGTATCAAAGCCAGCCTGGGCAGGAAAGTCTCTGAGACTCTTATTGCCAATTAACCACCAAATAGCCATAATTGGAACTGTGGCTGAAGTGGTAGAATCCCAGTCTTAAGCAAAAGAAATCCTTGGACAGCACCTAGGCCTTGACCTACAGGACTATCACAAACAAACAAACAGTATCTTCATCAGCTTGTTTATCGTTTAGTATCGCTTTAAGACATTTGAGACAGCACTAGAATGTCACAGTGGGACCCTTACGTTGTACAAAGGGGTTCCGTAAGTCAGGTTATGAGTACAATGCTGCTTATCCAGTGTCACCCCTTCCTTTATTCTTGTCTATTTCCCCCTCCTATCTTTACCCTCAAGTTACATAGTTTGTTTTTAATATAATGTACATTGACTATAATGACTACCTTTGTTCACCCTTCCTGTGTCTGTTCCTATGACTGTCACCTTTGCCTACTCACCCCCCAAAACATGTTTCTA